CATCTGCAGATCAGGCACATGGGAGAAAAAGGTTGCTTGTTAGAGAAGAGCTTTATTGTGCAAGTATCAAAGCAATCATCCCTTCACCAGGGATGTAAAATTCTGTTTAATCAGTTACCTGATTAAATGTTATGTTTAATGGGTTAACCGCTTAAATGGGAGGCCCATTCCAGACTAGATGGCCTGGAGTGCTCCCACAGGGCCTCGCTGGGCTAGAGCAGCCCCCCGTTCACGGCAGGTGGTTGTCTGCTCCAGTCTCTGCTGGTTAATTGTGACCGGTAACCATCACCCATTAAAGGTGAGGCTTACCAGTTAACCAATCACATCCCTACCCTTCAAAGGGATTCCTTGGAAGCAGGCAAAGCACTGAGCTGGACCCTGCACCCAAGGGCATTCGAGCCTCCCTTCTTCATGACTGCACCTATAAACCCACAGAACAAAAGACTATTACAGTGAGCCCTCGCTACTTCGCGGTTCGACCATCGCGGATTCACGACTTCGCGGACTTTTTTCATTACGTATGTATATACGTGAATCCGCGATGGTCGAACCGCGAAGTAGCGAGGGCTCACTGTATACATGTTAAATATGGTGTCCCTACTTCGCGGATTTTCAGCTATCGCGGTCGGGTTTGGAACCTATCTACCGCGATAAACGAGGGTTCACTGTATTAAGTATTTCTAGAAGAGGCCCATTCCTTCAAGGTAGAGGTAATCATTCTCCTCCAAGTGAATTCCTATCTCCCCCTCAAACTGCTCACTCTATACACGGAGCTCATTCCCCACGTAAGAAGGATGACAACTAGGCTAACTTTGCTGCCACACCAATAGAAGTGTCACTCTCCCTCGCTCCCTGACATTTCTGTAGGGGTACCAAAGGTCCCAAGTTGCTCCCAAGACTTTGTTTCCAGCTCAGCAGCATGAAACGTATATGTCTGCTTTATAGGTAAGCAGGACATTCTGCACAATGAGTCTTACGTTCACCTCTGTACTCTAGAGGACCAATGAATTCAGAGGTGCAGTGAACCAAAGTTAAACATGCTTTATGACCCTGACAAGATCAGTTATCAGATAGGAAGTGGAAGTGGGGCATTATTTCATTCACCAAAGATGAGAATAAAGCAATTAAAGTAAAGTAAAATTATTTTAACTTGGAAGGTCTCAAAATTGGTATAAAAACAGACTCACAAACAAAGATTTTTCTAATGCAGCAAGGTGAAGGACCCAACATTTAACAACAAAACTACTGTCACCTACTTTCCCAGCACACGGAAAAGGAATGGCATTCCCCCCAGGTGTACAGGCACATGTTCTCCTGGGGCGGCTCGGCACCTGATGGAAGCCTGCTCGGGATGTGCAGGTCCCCCTCTCCTCTTTCCTCCCCCCCCCCCCAAGCTCCCAGCATGGCATTTGGGCCTTAAAGGGGCCATGACCACATTTTGGGTTTTAGCCCCCAGCATGGGGCTTGGGGTTTTTTTTTTTTTTTGGTTCAACAACTTTGCCCATGAGTACCTGCACCTGTTTTCTTACCAAAACAAAACAAAACAAAACAAACACAAAAAAAGCACTCCGTAGGTACAACTATGTTACTCAGGGCATGGAAAAATCCACATCTCAGAGTGACACTGTTAAATCAACATAGCCCCGAATATATACAGTGCTATGTCAATGAGAGCGTGTCTCCCGTTGACACAGCTACTACCTCTTGAGGAGGTGGAGTACCCACACTGATGGTAGGTGGGTAGCATCTTCACTAAGGCTATGTCTGTGTTACAACTTATGCTGGAAAAACTCATGTTGCTTAGGGGTAAATATTCTACCTTCATGAGCAACATCCATTATGCCTGTAGAAGCAGTTGTGTGCAAAGTAGTGTGTACTGATGCTCATTGGGGTTGGATTAATTTTGTTAATGGGAAAACTCGCTTCTCAGCACTGCATTGCTGGATGTGTAGATAAGACATTGGTTATATAAGTCATGCTGATGAGTTGGACTAAGTCCTGAGGCCGCCTGCTGGAGGCCTAGTGGTCCTGCCACACACTGCCCCAGAAAAGGGGCACTAGAGAGATCCTCAGAAATGCCTAGAACAGCTGTATGAGAAGTAGCAGATCAGGATCCAACAAGCTAATATAAGGAGAGCTACTGAGCCAGTGCAAAATCAGTTTTTTGATGAAATTGGAGGAAAGCAGATGGTACTCTGGACTGGTGGCTGCTGGGATTCCATTGGGAAAAAGCCCTGAGGTAAGAGTAATAGAGTTGGGTGAACAAATCACCCAACACTTCAAATAAACATGCACAGGAGATACATTTTATGTAGTTCCCTGTAGTTCCTGTAGGATGTGGATATCAAAAAAGGGCCAAACCAATTAAGAAAGTTGAACTAGATCAGTCACAGCTACAGTATTTTTCTGTTTATGAACTTCAAGCAACGTTCTTCCTCTCTCTACAATTTATATATCATTATCAGCATTGCCAAAAAAGTCCTGGCGCTCGATCACTGTTGATGAACAGACTAATGATTTTACTTAGTAAATTTTTTAAAAAAATTCACTTGCTCATCCTGGAATGACAGAATTTTGCAAGACTAGTATTTATATACAGGGCTCGACAAACCGCTGAATCTACTTGCCCGTGGTAAGTAGATTTCAGCCAGTCGTTCTGTGTGCCCCATTCACCAGCGTTTCGCGCGTGCACAGTGCTGGTCTGGTGCATGCACAGGGTTTGTCAAGCCCTGTTTATATAGATAATTATCTCTAAAGAAAGGTCCCGGATTGATAGCACTAGAGGCTGAAGTCTTGTTATCCATAGAACAGATACTACTCTGGCAGTGGCAGTCTAAGCTTCCCCCTACATTGACTCAAAAGGTCCTAGCCATAATTTTGAGTGAGAGGATATTTAAGAACCTGAGCTGACCACTATGTAAATTGGGAGTAACTCCACTTATGTCACTTGAGTTTCAATGGTGTGAGTTTAGATTTTAGAATCAGGCTCGTTGTCTGTAAAGGCTTTAAAGCCCATAACTGGCACCATGCAAATAAATAATATTTTTTAAAGGACACATCAATATGACAGCATCAGTTGCAGAACTGAACAACAGGAACACATTCATTATGCTGACAACTCATTTTAACACTTCTCATGTAAAAGGTTCTGTTAATCCTGACGAATGTTCAGTTTCCTCTGAGCAGGGGCCTGTAACATAATGCATAAATTCACACTTCATAAATAGGATGGCTTGCAAAAGCCTTCAGAATATAGCAGTTTTTCCATATGCTTTTTTAACAGACAGTTTCCTTTAAAAGAAAAAGGAATCAAGATAAGAGAAATAATGAGAAGCATCCATTTCAGCCTATAAGTGCATGTACGATCACTAAGGTTATCTATCACCAAGTAAATATACACTAAGATGGTAATATTACATTATGATGTGGAGGACCAGTGTTAATGAGGCCAATTAAATCAGCGTGGATGTGGCCCATTTTGAATTGGTCTTGTGAATGTTGGTCCTTCCCATATTAATATAATACTTTATAAACATTGCAAAACAACTTTTCCCACCTTAACCTCGTTCTCAAAAATGGTTGCATTGATTTTGCTGAAAAGTTCCAAAGTTTAGTCAGAGATGGACCCTTGACATGGAAAATATCGGTGTGACTTGTTACAGTTTGCCGATGTTCTAAGAAACTGAGTACAGAGTCTGATAATAGAAAGTCCCATGTAATCTTTATAGTAGGCAGCTCCCCCATAATGGTTAAAAATGAGGAGCAGAAAAAGAAAGCTGGAATTAATAACATACACACACCGCACACTAGCTTTGCAGGTATAATTCTGTGAACCTCTGACAGTTAATCCCAGATCTGCTGGCAGGGCTGTTATCAGCAAGTTGCAAGACGCGATACATTTTCCCCTTTAATCAAAATTATTAGATAATGATGGGAACCTGTGCTGGGAGTACTCCTTGAAAACACTCACAGGGCATTCTCCAGCAAAAACCTGCAAGGGTCAAGGGCAGAATGCAGCACAAACAGAAAGCTGAAATGGCTCAGTTGCTTCTGAAGCCTTCATCCTATTAGCCAGACTGCCTGCCAGGTATAAAGGAAGCCATTCTGTGCCTAACCTTATGGAGGAAAGGACTGAAAGGAAGGTGGAATTGAAACTTAAGATCTAATCATAAAAATCTAGGCAAGAGAACCACCTCAGATGCTGATTTGAATGATCACTGATCTGAAAAGAAAAAAATAGAATTTAAAAAAAATCAGAAGTGAGAGAAGATGGCACCCTTCTGTGAGAACCTTCCTTTTCCCAGCCAGCACAGCAGCAGGCACAGTAGCACTGGCACACTAGGGTTTTGAAGTTCATAAGCATGGAGTGAAAGCGTCTTCATTTGTCCTTGATAAATTTATCCTGCTGCCTTCCAGAGCTCTGATTTGCCAGGGGAATGATAGGTTTTGTTGATATTTTAAGTTTAATTAGATGTCTGGACCTGCATGCCTGAAACATCCTTACAGACTTCTTTCTAAAAATGAACCAAAAACTCCTTTGGGGAACGTGGGGTCGAGGGCGGCCTAAAGAGTTAGCAGGGGGCCTGGCGCTGGCAGCAGCAAGTGACTCAGCCACAACCCACTTCACTCTGGCTCCGACATTGCTCAGGAGAGGGTGTGGAAGCTGGAAAGAGGGGAGGGGGGCAGAGCAAAGGGAGGAAGAGGCGAAGCGGAGGTAGTTGTCCTGGGCCCCACGCCTCTGTAGGGGTGGCCCCAGTTCCAAGTAACCACACTCACTAATCATTGTGCTTCATGTAAAACAAACTCACTGTGTCCCCACACAGCCTTGTAGTACCCAAAAGTACATATCCTGCAGATCCCAGCACAGCTGCTTGAAGCAGACGTTTGTCAGAGCAACATTCCAGCTTAAGCGTTTTTAATTTTCAAAATATAAATTCTGCAAGTTGCCATTTCATTGTGTTAAGCAATGGGCATTTTGTGAAATTAACATGGATCAGCACTGCATAAATAGCATAGGGGAAGCAGACAGTGCTCGCTGTAGCTAGTTTGCACTTCCCAGAATGAAAGATTACTCCATCTTGTCAGAGAGATTCTGGCACCTTTATGTTTGCAACAGGTCTCGGAAATTCAGCTACCTGAAAGCTTTCTGGCCAGAGAAATACCTTTTGTCTTTTGAAAGGACAGTTGGTTTTTCAGATCCATTAGCTACTAATAATTGTTATTTTCCTTCTGTTGCTCAGGAATATGGTGACAAGAACACTCAACAACTAATTGAACACATACATTCTAATAAGCCATACCCACCCTGCCCCCAAAGTAATAGCACACTGCACCAGTGAGAATGTCTGGCAGCTGCTACAATGAGCAAGAGGGCAAAGAGAGCCAGATGGCTCCTGACTTCCTGCTTCCTGCCTTCACCAAATCCAGCCCATATTCCCCTCTGTAGGCACTACATAGGGCAGGAATCAGGAAGAAAGAGTTGGGTCATGCTCATCACAAGGTCTCTGGAGCTTAGACCCAACAACCCATTTTCCACCCCCGAGATAATGCCTCTCTTTCCCACTACCAGCTGGGTGTACTGTGAATCCAACATTACTCTAAGGAGACGAATTATGGGCAGGGGAAGAGAGGGAGAGGAAGGGGACTTACACAGAACTTGATGATGCTCATTTGTTACAAAATAACTTTTGAACACTACCTCCCACCAATTACAAAACGTCAGGGAATATTCTAGGCATCAATGTGCAGTACCTGACCATTTAGTGAAAAATCAGAAAACAAAAGAGATGGGGGACACACGGAACCCCTAACATCTGGTCAGCAAGTTCAACAGCATCCTCAACCAGCTCTGCAATTTTTTACATATAAAAAAATGCTGTAAATATTGACACAATGAATGACTTATCAGATAGAAGAAAAATAAATCAGGGGGAGGGGATTCATAGAGCCCCAGTAAGGCAGTGACAAGCAGAAAGCTTTGGGGAAGAGAGGGAGAAGAAATGCAATGAGCTCAGCCAACAGAAGTAATGAAGTGTGCATCTCTCTAATGTATGCAATGTGTTACGTATTTTAACAAGAAATGCTGTAAGGCTGCATACATTACACCTTATAAACAAAGAAAACTCATATACAAAGTTACATAATCTGCCAGCTAATAATCAGGATTACAGAAGACCTTGAACAGAGCAACAGCAGGAGCAACCGTAAGACTACTGGGAGGACTAGTAAAATAACCATGCCTTGTTTGTACAGCAGCACTACAACAGTGGTGAGCTTGGGGAAGCTGAGATATAATGGCTACACTGCATGTTTTTGCCAGTACGTAGAACATATATCTGCATACACTCTTCCCCCTGCCAGCAGGGCCGTCCTTAGGCATAGGCAGTTGCCTGGGGCACCACTCTGCCGGGATGGACTGGAAGCAGCGGAGCATGTGTAAGCAGGGGGTAAACTACTGCTTGCTATCAGCCAGCTAAAAGGAGAGAGCTACCCTGGGGGTGGGTGTGCTCACGCTCACTTAGCAGGGGCTGAACTGCTGCTTGCTATCAGCCAGCTAAAAGGAGAGAGCAGCCCTGGGGTGGGTGTGCCCATTACAATTGTTTAGCTCTGCAAGATAATTAACTGTTAACTGTTGATATGTAAATACAGCTCATGCCAGGATGGGGAGGGAATACGAGGTGTGGCTATGTAAATCCAATTCAGCCAGGGCTGATGGAGGATCAGTGTTGGAATGGAATGTGGTGTGTTGTAAATAATTTGGGGCTATTGTGGGGGTCACAAATCATGCTACCCCTAAATGTGGGAATTGTAAAACATGACACCAGTGCTTGCAGGAGAGACACCATCATTGTAAGAGGTCTCAGAGGAACAAGCCTCCCCCCTACCAGAGTTCAGTGAACTGAGTTGGGGGGGGGGGGGGCACAAAAGGGGC